CACGCTTGGGAATCGGGTTCAGCGGATCCCGGCACAATGGGTGAACTATCGCCCTTCGGAAAGTACGCGTGTGATCGATTGTTTCTGTGATGCTAGCTGGAATTTGCCCTCTGTGAGTGGGGCGATTATCTGCTGGCAGTGCAACCTGCTGAAGAGTTTTAGCCGTAAACAGACGGTTGTGGCCCTGAGCAGTGCCGAGGCTGAATTGAGTGCTTTGGTAGAGACTGTGAAAGAGGCTTTGTTTGCAGGGTTGCTTCAACAGTCGTTTTTGGAGGGATTGCCTGAGGATGATACCGGAAGCTTTTGGATCCGGATTTGTACCGATTCTGAGTCGGCAAAGGCGATTGCTTCAATGGAGGGACTCTTGAGAAGGGTTCGTCACCTGGAGTTGCGGTGTGCTTTCCTGCAGCAGATGGTTCAGTCGGGGAGAGTGATCCTCGAGTTTGTGGCCGGAGCATATAATGCCTCCGACGGCCTGACCAAGAGTATGGTTTTTCAGGAGCAGCTGGACAACCTCTACGAGGTAACCGGTTTGGTTTCTTTTGAAGACGAGTTGGGTGAGTTTGAGCTGGAACGCCTGACTGCAGAAGAGCCGGTAAACCGTTCTTTTGTTCCTGAGGAGTACGTTTCACTGTGTGAAGCTGTGGCGAAGAACCAGGTCACCTTTGTGGTCGTTGAACTGTTCTGCCAGGAAGAAAGTGCCTTACAGAAGGCATGTGAGAAGCTTGAGATTGCCTATGTGGGCGTCACTGAAAAGCTTGACTTTTGTTCTGAGCAGACGCAGTGTTTTCTGAAGGAGTTGTTTTCTGTGTTGAGTTGTGGCTTGAAGACGAAGATCTACTGCCATATCTCCACTCCCTGTACCACTGGGTGTCGTTTGCGTTACCGCGGGTGGCGCAAGTACAGTCAAGAGAAGTGGGAAGAGAAGAAGAAGTTGCATCAGCGTGCTTGGGAACTTCTTGAAGGTTTGTTGAAACCGGTTGCTCGGAGTGAACGCTTGTTGTTGACTCAAGAGTGGCCTCTGCAGAACGACCTCTGGAAGGACCCGCGGTATCTTCAGGTTGCTTCAGAATTGGGGCTTTCTGAGGGTATTGTGGTAGACCGCTGTGCGTACGACTGTGTGTTTAAACGGTGGTACTTTGCCACGAACAGTAAACGCTGGGTCAAAGTGTTTCCTAAAAGGGAATGTGACCAAGTGCATGAACATGTACAGGTGGAATTAAAAGATTCAGGGTTCTATCCTGAAAAGCTATAGGTCTAGAGCTTGTAAAGTGTGCTCAAAAGACACTAGGTGCCGCATCAGTCCAAGAGGGGGTGTGAAAATCCCATTTTTTTTTTTTTGCGCATCTGATTCCCTTCCTTGCCTCTGTTAGGGGTTCTTACATAGCAGCAGGTGATTTTAATGATGATTTTGAAACTTTGTCTGCTACCAACATTGCCTTGGAAGCGAAAGGAGCCTGGCTTGCACCTGAAGGACCCACGATTGCAAGTGGAAGCCGCATCGATTTTGGCGTGGTTTCCAGGGCGCTGTCACATGTGGTGACGGTGCGTTCACAGTGGCTCACGCCCTTCAAACCGCATGCTGCTTTGGAATGGGAATGGCAGGTTTCCGATATCCTGCTCAGCGTTCCACAAGTCAAACCTTTTAAGCCCCAGCAGGTGCAGGCACAAACTTTTGAGCCTCGGCAGTGCGAGCATCAACTTCATGTGCTAGGACTTGAGATTCAGAATCGTGCATTGGCCCAGCAATTTGCAGAATTATCCTCGGCAGTGGAGAAATCTGTTTTCGGTAAAGTCCAGGGCCGTGGCGTGCATATCCCTGTGATCCGGGCACCCCTGCAAGTGCAAGGCAGGCCAGGTGCAGGCTGGGGAGGACAACAATGCGCGTTTTGGAGCCGCTTGCTGTCTTGGCTGGAAGCGTGTCAAAAGACCCCTCAGAAATGTCCCTTGGGGTCCCAGGTTGTGTCCTGCATTTCCCAATTTTGGCACGGCGAGCCGGACCTAGCCAAAGCTTGCTCGGAGCAGGTTGCAGACTTGTTAGCCCAACAGTCAGACGATCTGATATCTTCCCTTGTGCCAATTGTCCGGCAACAGCTTCAGCAGCACACCCAAACGTGGATGCAAGATAAATCTAAGTCCTACCAAAAATGGCTTGACCAGTCAACTAAAGGTGGCATGCGACCGCTCTTTCAAAGTGTCAAACAGCATGAAGGCAAGACTTTGAGGCCCTTTCTAGAGGCGCCGCTCCAAGAGCGCATCTACTTGCGTTGGCGCCAGTGGCATGCTGTGTGGCATAATGCCGATACTGGGGAAGTTGATCTGCATTTGGCTGAGGAAGTTAAGCAGCGAGCCATCGCCCAGGCTCAAAGTTTGCCTCCCATTTCAGTGCAGCGGGCCACCGCGTACTTCCGTAAAGCAGCCAAAAAGGCCCCAGGCATCGACGGGTGGTCCGCAGACATGTTGCGCAATATGCCAGGTGAGGCCGTTCAGGCTGTGGTGGATTTTCTGAGCGCCTGTGAGTTGCGAGCTGAGTGGCCTGCCCAGATTGTCGTTGCACTCATTGCACTGCTGCCTAAGAGTGCGAAGAAAGAACGCCCTATTGCTCTTCTTCATTTCCTATACCGCTCGTACATCCGGCTGCGGTGGGATCTAATTGCGGAGTGGCAAGTGTCATATTCCAAAAATGCAGCATGGGACAAGGCACTGCCCGGGTCCCAAGTGTTGGATGTTGCACTGGGCCGGCTGATGCGTGGCGAATCCACGAAACATGCCAAGGCGCATATGATCACAGTGTTTCTTGATCTTGAAAATTTTTATGACCGATGCCGTTTCAGTGACATGTTAAAGACCGGCTTAGACCTGAACTACCCTCCTCTAATACTCCACCAGGCTTGGCTAGTGTATTCGGCTCCCCGGTTTTTGCAGTCTGAGGGTGCGCTGGCACCCCCGATTTGGCCATCACAAGGAGTACTAGCCGGGTGTCCTGCTGCCCCTTCAATTGCGAAGCTCATCATCCACCCGGTTGCAGCTTGCGTCACTTCCAAAACAGGAGCCACGAACTTGGATGTGTGGGTCGACGACCTAAGTCTTGATGCTGTGGATGCTTCCGCTGAGACTGCTGCCCGCACGAGCCTTAAGCTTTTCAGGTCCCTCCGCACTTCCTTGACTGTTAGGGGTGCCAGCCTGTCCATGGACAAAACGTGCTTTGTGGCGACATCAGCGAGGGCAGTGACGGCCCTAAACAAGCTTAGAAGCCCCACGGATCCAGAGGTTAAGCCCTTTGCCAGAGATTTGGGTATAACCTCAGGTGGAGTCAGGAGGCGCATTTTGGGGCTTGCGGAGCACCGGCGCCAAAAGGCAAAGGCCAGGCACAGCCAATTGTGTAAATTGCGTGTGCCGGGCCAGAAACATCGGCTCAGGATAGTGCGTGCTTCCATTTGCATGGCAGGCCTGTTTGGACACCAGGCATTAGGAGTTTCGCCGAAACGTCGTAAGTGGTACCGCACCATTACGGCCAGGCATCTTGGGCGTCAAAAGCTGGGTTCTCTTGATTTGGTTTTTACTGTCATGGGACACATTTGCGAGGATCCCTTTGCTACAATTTTACGTCACCATTTCAAGGCAGTCGCTAGGGTTTTTCACAAGTGGGCTGTGCAGGAGCAAGAGAAGTTCCACAGTGCTTGGCGAGCGCAGTGGCACAGGATTCATGGGGGCAAGTACCCGTGGCTGCGAGTTGCTGGACCTCTTGCGGCTACCCAGGCTTATCTCAGTGAACTGGGAGTGGAGGCGTCGGACCCTTGTCAGTGGGTGCATAGTAGTACCTCCCTCAGTGTAGATTGGAAGTCGCAGGACACCTGCCGCCAGGTGTTGCAATGGATTTCCAGGCTGCACCAGGCTCGGGTGAGGGAGCGCATTGCTGTCTTAGAAGGCTGCCTGTTGGTTGTGTTTCTTTAGGGGTTGAAGGTCCCTCTAATAGGTGATTCTCTCAGGCCCGATCGGAGTGCGCTTGAGTGCTGCACCCGGCTTGCCCAAGTCCCCTACTGACCTCTGGTACCGGTGTGCGCCAGTGGCTGCACCCACCAGCCTTCAGCGAGTACTTTGCCGACATTAAGGGTCGTGCGTCCAGGCCTTTGTTTAGTGGGGGAGCGGCTCAGGCTGTAGCTGTCACCATCTCTCATGTTGGTTGACTGCGCCCGTCCCGCTGGTATGCAATGTGAGATGGTTGTTTTCGCGCTGTTGCATTTCTTGTGGCGAGCCCAGTCACCAGCGTTGCACACATACTGCATCCTGTCATGCCAGTGCTTGAGGGGTTTGCCCGGCGTTAGGCCGTTTGGCTAGGGTTCTGCCCGCGCGCTTTCCTCCTTAAGAGCGACCCCCATAATCCTTTTGATTTCACGCCGGTGTGCGCTTGTCAGCTGCACCCGAAAACTGAAGTTGCTGGTCAAACAAGGCTGAAGGCAGGGCTTGGGCACCTGTGAGGCCCTGGTTGGTTTGCTTTCCAGCCAAATGCACGCCCGACTGCTTCCTTGACATAATGCTCATGTTGCGTTGCCTTTCCCTACAGGGCTTCGGTACTGCTGCAGCGTGTGAGTGCCTCCCGCCGGCTTCGTCAAAGGGGCTCTTGGTGCGAATGTGCCTTCGGGAGGCTTGTCGTCTGTCGAGGATTGCCGCCTGTCTTGATGCATCGCTGCTCTGTGGCCATGTGCCCAGGGGTCCAGTGCACTTGATGAACGTTCTCTTGGCTATAATGCTCATGACCCTTCTGTGGTACGTGCACTCGCGTGTGCGTACCACCGGGGGGTTCTTCTTCGTCGCTGTGTACAGGCTGCTGGTAGCGAACTCGCTGTGTACAGGCGCTGTCAGCTGCCGTGGTCCGACTTCAAACTTTACTCGGGGCTATGGCCTGTGGGCCGTCTGGTCCTTTCGACTTGTGTCAGGCTTGTTTGCCTGCTTTGGTGGCCTGCTAAGCCTGCCAGGCTTGCTGTGCTCCCTGGCTGCCCATGCTGGTCACCTTTGAGCTTTGGTGCATGGTCCAGCGCTGTTCTTACACTCTGGTGTGCCACAGTCCCACCTTCTTTCCTTCGGGGAGCTGGTGGGACTCCCGTAGTGGTGCAGTCCCCGCTTGCGATGCGGATGTGCGTAGTGTAGAGTGGTGTGCTGTTTGATCTGTACAGTTTCTAGGTTCGTTAACGAAAGGCGGCCATCGGCCGCGGCATCTGCTGTCCGCACGGGAAGAAAATCCCATTTTAGGCAGCCGAAGCCAGCTAAGCTAGCAAGCTGCCTTCAGAAGGTGTGGTCCACCTTGCCTGCAGATGTGTGTTTGCAGTTTGAGCAGGCTGGCTTTAAAGTGCCGGCCCCGAAGCAGGAAGATGTTGACCTACTCAGCCTTTTGCAGCGCAACCGTGATGATCTCCCCCAGGAAGTCCTGGATGCTCTGCCAGCAGCACCGGTCCCTAACCCAGTGCAGGAAGGCAAGGCTGCAGGTGTTGAGTGGCGCAACTCCGTCGGTAAGTTGCGCGACCTTGGCCAGCGTAAGTTGAAGCTGCAAGAAGACATTGACCTGGCCAAGGCCAATCTGAGGGCCCTGCTGACAAAGATGCAGGACTTGCAAGCTTCCATCCAGGAAGCACAGACTGAGGTCAACAAAGCCACTCAGGATTATGAAGCTAAGGTTCTCACACAGTGCGCAGAAGAGGCCAGTCATGGAGTAGATTCTGTGTTGCAGGCCCTGGGTATCGAGGAGGACACCCTCACTGAGGCCCAAAAGCGCAGTATCGCTGCTCTGAAGAAGGACAATGCTGATGAGGCCAAGCGCCGCAAGACCGAGCAGCAGGATCGTTTCCCGCCTGGATTGCTCCCGAAGTCTACGGCACCCCCGGCCGCCGAACCCCAGCAAAACGCCGCAGACGCTAAGGACTTGAACAGCCAGTCCGGCAAGGCGCGCAGTCGCTCGCCCAAGCGCGGTGACAAGGGTGACGAGCTTTAGGATCCAGGTGGGGGGTTAGGCGGGGGCCCCGGGTTTTGTCTTCCGGTTTTCTTTCTCTGAGTGAGGTTTTGCGTGATCTGGAAGTTTCGGAGCCAAGCGCAAGCCCTGACGCGTCAAACACCTTTTTCAAGTGCTGGCACTGTGGCCTCCCTTTCGTGCCAAATGCCGTGGGAGTTCAGTTTTGCATTTGCAGTGCCGAAATCCATGTCAATTACGCATCAAAACATGCTCAGGCCAGCATTTGCAGTGCTGACGTGGGCCTGGCCGTAGCCTCACCACCGGGTTCGAGGCTCGGATCTCCCTTGCAAGACCAGCCAGCCCAGCTCGAGGATGGGTTTGTTTTCCCCAGGACTGTGTCCCGTCCCTTTTGGCCATCCCCTAGCTGTGCCCTGACTGGCCCAAAGTTTTTCCATCCCGCCATGTTTCATTCGCCGGAGGAGGGCGCCTCTTCGGAACCTAAGGTTGTGAAGAAACCATTGGTCAGGGGACCGATCATGTCTTTCTTGGAAGAGCATGGTTCCCGCTTTGACCATGCTGCGCCAACCCCACAGGATGCTGAACCTTTTCCTGGCCCACAAGGCTCACCGTCCCCTGCAGTGTGCAAGGTTGGGAAGAGCCTTGGTCGGTCAGGCTGGGGCTCTCTTCTCAACCTGAGTGCATATAAAGCCCTGCATCCGGACTGGCACCATGAGCCTGACCTATTGCGCCTCGCCGAAGGGCTTGAGGAGCAGAGCCAGGAGGGCACCCTTGAATACTGGACTCTTTTCAGGTCCCTGGAGGCCACCGAGGCCCGTGATAATAGCCTTGAAACCTGGGCTCGCATCGCCAGAGCTTCGGAGGACCTGGTGCACTCCACTTCCAGAGGCCGGGCCCGTACCTTTACTTTCGTTTCGGCCAATGTGACCTCCTGGAGACCAGAGCTCAGGCAGTGGTTGGTTTCACTGCAGTGTGACGTAGCCCTGATTCAGGAGCACCACCTCTCTGAAAAGGCCTTTCATGCTGAATCGGTTGCCCTAGCTAAGGCAGGCTATCATTTGCATGGCCAGCATTCTCCCGCCCGTAAGCGCGAAATTGGAGGTGTGATGGTCTGTGTCAAGGCTCATTTGCAAGCCAGGCACGTTCATACCTTTCAAGATCCTGAAACGGGCTGTGGCTTTGTTGCGATTGCTGTCCGGGTGACCGGCTTCGACTTAGCCCTCATCTCTTTGTATCTCGAGTCAGGTAGTTCCTTCGAAGGCCGGACCAACACAGTGGTCCTTTCCCATCTGTATGGCGTGCTGGCCTCGCTCAAATGCCCCTGGTGTGTGGTGGGGGACTGGAACATAGATTCCTGTGAGGTCCTCGCCACCAGGCTTGAGGACCTCACCAGGGGCCGGCTCCTTGGAACAGGAATGCCTACGGCTGGCACCGCAGCAGAGCTAGATTATGCACTGGTCCACCCGCGACTAGCCTCACATGTCTCGCTTGAGCTTGTTTGGGATGTCCCTTTCAAACCGCACGCCGCTCTGATGTGTACCCTTCCCCTCAAGCCGCTGCAGGACCTGCAACCAAACCTGAGGACCCTGGCTGACTCCTTTGACCCCATCACAGATGACCAGCGCCTTTTGACACCGACGGTTGTCTCCCCGCAGCAGGTCGTTTTGCTTGAGATTGAAGCAAGTGACCCCGTGTCTCTTGCGTTTGCGGAGTTCTCTGCCACAGCTGAGGCGTCTGGTCTGTTGGGAAAGAATACAGGCAGGGGGGTTCACCTGCCCACGGTCCGCCAGCCGGCAGTGTCACAGCCAGCCCAGGATTACCAGTGGTTTGGGCAAGAACACGCGGTCTGGACTCAGCTTGCGACTAGGTTCAAGGCCGGGGGTCCTAGCCAGGTAGTCTTGCTGCTGCTTTCCAATCTTGCTCCCGAGCATAAGCAGTGGGTAACGGAAGTTGAGGCTGCCGTTTCTAACCAACGTGATCTCACGATCTTTGTCTCGCGAGCTGAGACGCAAGCCAAAGCTGCCATGCAAGCCCAGCAAAAGGAACAGGCCAATTCTTATCAAGCTTGGCTGTCGGGGGCTCTGTCGGCAGGTATGGGGCCAGTGTACCGAGCTCTTAAAAGCCATGAACAAACTCTTGCTCGGCCCTTTAGAGATCAGTCAGCTCTGGCCCGAGCCTATTGTCGCATGGAATTCTGGAGCCACATTTGGGATGCGACAATTGTTCCCCCTCAAGTCCAATTTTCTGCAGAGCGCCTCGCCTTGAGGGCTGAGGCCTCGCAGCAGGCACAGGACCTTCCATCATTGGCTTGGGAACAGGTCAAGAAAGTGTGCTTGGCCACAGGTAATAAGAAAGGCGGCCTCGACGGTTGGTCGTACCGGGCTTTGCGAAATCTCCCTGACTTCTGCTATAAGCAGCTTGCCGAGCTTTTCTCCCGGGTTGAGGCGGACCTCACCTTGCCGCTTCAAATGCTAACGGTCCAAGTAGCCCTCCTGGCAAAAACCCCTGAGAAAGAGCGCCCCATTTCGCTCACTTCGGTACTTTGGAGAGTTTACAGCAAACTGAGGCGCCCACTTCTGGAGAGCTGGCTGAAGTCGTATGCTGCTTGTGCTCCTTTCGACTCTGCTACACCAGGGCACACCTCACTTGACCCAGCATTATCCCGTTTGATAAAAGCTGAAGACCACAAATTTCGCAAAATCACCTTCATCACCTTATTTGTTGATCTTGAAGGCTTTTATGATGGTATTGATTTTTCCCGCCTGATCGCCCAGGGAAAAGCTTTGGCATTTCCACCTATGCTTTTGGAATTATGTCTTCAGTTATATCATGGGCCACGTTGTCTCCACGGAGAAGGCGTCAGCACGGTAGCTCTGTGGCCCAAAAAGGGCATTTTGCAGGGGTGCCCGTACGCGCCCACGGTTGCCAAACTCACCACTCATGCCCCGTTGCAGGGCATTTCTCAGCAGCCGGGTGTTAGTCACGCTGATCTGTGGCTAGACGACATCAGTGTTGATGTGTCACATGCTGATCCGGAGGTCGCAGCCTCCCTTGCTCTCTCAGCTTCCAGGAAGCTGGAACAGCTTTTGTCAGTTGAAAAGCTTCGCATCAACAAAGTCAAGACAAAGTTTGTATGCAACAACGCTCAGGCGACGAAAGCCTTGAACAGCCTGCGCGGTGATGCCGATCCCCAGGTTGCGGACTTGGTCCGCGATCTGGGAGTTGATTCAGCAGGCGCCAAACGCCGACGACTAACACAAGCCTTGAAACGTTTTAAGGTTGGCCGCGCACGCAACCAAAAACTTCACCGACTCCGTACTGGGGGTAAAGCGCACAGGCTGTACGCCACCTCCATCCTCAAGGCCGAGACCTATGGATGTCAGGGACAGGGGATTTCCCCCAAGCGGCTTAAGGTTATCCGTTCTTCCATCTCTAGGCACGTCGGACGGTCCAAATGGGGTTCGGTAGATGTGTCACTCGACTGTATGTCTTTCCAGTGCCAGGACCCCCTGCTTACAGTTGTTCTAGCGCAGGCTGACGCCCTGTTTCGTATGTTTGGCCCCTCCACGGCGCAGGGCTGGGTGATCCTAGGACGCACATGGAAGGTGGCTTGGGCGCGACAGGAAGCGGCCGTGCATGGCTGGAAGTGTGTTGCCGGGCCGGTCGCCGCCATGGTTCAATACTGCATTGACTTGCGCATTAATGTCAGTGATCCTCTGCGCTGGGTTCATAGCAGCGGGGTTCTTCTGCTTGATGTCGCTAATCCTGCCCTTTTCTTGTCAGTTCGTCGCTTCCTCACTCAGGTCGTCGCACTTGAAAGAACGCTCCGGTTTGGTGCGGTACCCACGGCTCACGGGGCCCAGCAGGGCGTCGACTGGTCAGTCCACCGGAAACTTTTGAAGGCTTCAAAGCCCTCGTCCCCACGATGGGCTTTTCATGCAGTTTGGCAAGGACGCACCCTGCACTCGGGTAATGGCGGCCTAACGCACTGCTCCTGTGGCGCTGAAAATTCTCTCCATCATGTTTACTACGAGTGCCCTCTTGCGCCTGCTAAACTTAGCCCGAACCTCCGGGGCTTCCAGCGCCGCCATGAGGAGCCGTGTTTTTGGCTAAGGGGTATGGTTCCCCGAGCTTGGACCACGCCGCAGCTGTCTAGCGCAGCGCTCGAAACTCGAGTCACGGGGCTCTTCTGCCATCCACCGGTAAATGCCGAGGGGTTGTTTGTGTCCACCGATGCCAGCGGAGGACCCAATACAAGGGACAGTCGCTTGAGATGCGTGGGCTGGGCAGTTATCTTATGTGAAAAGTGTGAGGATGGCCTGAAAGAAATCGGTACAATCTCAGGCTTGCTCCCCCCGGGCAGCACTGTGCCTCAAGGTGAGGCCTACGCGATCATTCAAGCACTCAAAGCAACCACAGGCAGCTTCGACCTCACGAGTGACTGTCAACCTGCGATCCGGGCGCTGCAGGCCCGCAAGCTCACCGTCCAGCATGATCCGGACTGGGGGCTTGTTTGGCAGGATCGCTCTCGAGCCCAGCCGACCTGGGTACGGAGCCACTGCACTCCCGAAGCCTTCGAGAAGGAGTTCCCTTCTCAGCAGTGGCGACGAGTACTCAACGAAAAGGCTGACTCCCTGGCGGGTCGTAGGGCTGCAGAGGCCGTTTCGCCTCACTTTGTGCGCAAGGTGAAGGAGTTGGACCGGGTTGCGCGCGAGCTAAACCAGTTTCTCGCCTCTAGGGCTGAGAAACTGATTAAGGACAAGACGCAAGGTTTTGTTCCCAGAGCCGCCAGAGACTCCCAGAGCCAGTTTGAGAAATCTAAGGCAAGGGCGACAACTGTTTCGACCACCCAGAACAGTTCTTTACCTAACAAAAAACAGCGCCTGAAGCAGTTGCTGGACTCCCCTGATCCAGCACTTGGTCATGATTGGAAAGCCCGCGAGACTAAGGCCGCCAACAACTTCTCGGTTTATTGCGAAAAATGCAATTTATATATTGAACAATGTCATTCGCTTGATGTTTTCAATCGCAAAATTACACACCCGTGCCGTGGTGTTGCTGCAGCTGTGCCGCCCAGTTGGAAAATACACCCCAGCCATGACATGCATAATCGAGGATCTCACTTTTTGTGTGCCAAGTGTTTGGCCTGCATAAAACTTGGCGCGGTCTCGCCCTCGTCCCTTCTTCAGTCTGCATGTAAAGGCTTAGGGCGTAAAGTAAACAGTGGCACCAAGGCTTGCGCCTTGGCACAGGTTGGTGGAGTCTCCACCCGATCCATTGCCAGTGCTTTTCAATCTGCCAGCACCTTCGGTGCCGGCCCTATGCCAGAGCGTGTTTCTGCAGTTCCTAAGCTTGGCCTTTTGAGCGCTGCCCAGGTCAACCCTCCAGCTGGGCCCGTCGCCTCCTCTGCAGCGGCTGCCCCAAGGTTGCCGGAGTGCCAAGGCGAGGTCACTCAGTCCACAGGAGTGCAAGGAGCAGTTGGTCAGTCCGTTTCTGTAGGTTTGCGATCTCAGTTAGGCATGCCAGCAGCTGTTCCGCCAGTGAAGCCCAAGGCCCCAGCTAGACCCAAACCCAAAACAAAACCGAAGGCTGACCCAACACAGCGCACCCTTCGTTTTTAGGCCCAAGGCCTGCTAAGCATGGCGCCCAAGCAAGAAGGGCGGCACATATCCACGCAACTCCGCCGTGAGGAGCGGGGACTATCATGGAAATCAGCGGCGACGATTGACCGACAGCGGGGACGTAAGAAAGCCCGCAAACAGAAGAAGCGCCGCGAACAATATGAGCACGCTGGCAGGAGAACTGAGGAGGCTTGGCCGCCCCCACCACCTCCACCAGGACCTCGTGCGGAGGCGAGACATCGTGAAGCTGAAGAGCTGCCGTACGACTTGGAGGAGCCCTCGCCTTCAGGGCTGAGGGCTCCCTCCACTGCGGCTGCTTCCAGCAGCCAGGGCCCAGCACGGGAGGAGCCCTCGCCTTTAGGGCTGAGGGCTCCACCCCCTACTGCTGCTGCATCCAGCAGCCAAGGCTTACCTTTGCAACGACTTCCAGAAGCTGAAGAGCCACCGGTGGACCAGGACGACTCCAGCAACTGTCTTCAATCTGACAGCAGTGAGACACCACAGCCTGCAGTCGCGCTGAAAGATCGCCCAAGTGACTTTGGCCCTCTTCTTCATGAGGATGGCCTAATCACTTTCTTATGTGCAGCTGCGCCCCAGGTGAAGCATCCGGTGAACCACTACCAGTGCCTTCCGGAAAGCCTTGAAGTTTACCATGACTTTGTCACTGGTGGGCGAACAAAAGCTGCTCGAGCGAGACGGCTGGGGTTCGGAAAGTCCCGGACAGTTTACGTTGACCCTGGCTCCTCGGAACACGTTCTGAAGTTGGCGCCTCCACAAGGTCACGGGCCAGAACCGGAAGCTTGGAGACTGCTCCCTCATATAGTGCCGTGCACTTTGGATGCGGGTATTCACCTGCTCACGCTTTCTTGGAAGAGCTGCTATGATATCATCTCCACGCATGTTTTGAGGCAGTCTAGGCTCACTCCACTTTCGGTGTGGAGGCCAGCTCCGCCGGACCTTGATATGGTCCGCTACATGATGGCACTGACTGCGGAGGCCTCCCGTTTCTACAATCTCAAGGATCTTGGCTTTTTCAACTTTGGTGTTGATGCCCGTGGCTTCATTATGATGTGGGACACCGCAGACTGGCTTCCATGGGAGGGTCAAAGGGCACACTGGCCGAACAGACAGCGTGCCTCGGCTTTCTGGAGCGCGGTCAAGAGGAGTGTTCCAGACCACTTTCAGGAGCTACTCCAGCTTGTCAGCAACGCCTCGCCTGAGGAGGTGCTGCAACGGCTACGACCACTCCTTACGCAGCACTACAAGTGGTGCCTGCTACAGCAGGGAGTTTTCCTTGGTGACTAGCCTACTAGGTGAGTCAAGCTGCCCTGGCCGTCGAGTGGAAGGCCGCCTGAACTTTTGCTTTTCACTGCCTCCTGGGCCCTCGCCTTAGGGCTGAGGGCCCGAGGCTGTGGAAGGGTGCAGCTCAGCCTGGGCACTGACCTGGACCAAAGGTCCCGCAGCAGGCCGTGACAGCCTTGTTGCTCTGCAAAATGGTTTTCAAGCACTGTACTTCAGCATCGCCTTTGCTTCGTAGCCTGCCTGCTTCCGCTTCTCCGTGCTCTGGCAGGCTTGCGGTGCCCAGGAGCCCCGTTTTCTGCAGGATCCTCGGTCCGGTCAGCCCGAGTGTCCAGCCTTTGCTTTGAGCCTTTGCTTTGAGAGCTAGTTGGCAGGTGATCAATCTCTTCAGGTGTGTCTTTAAGGAGCAGGAGATCTGACAGCAGGAACACGAAAGCTTTTGCCGCTTCGCTGTTTCGTACAGGACCACGCCTCGCCAGCTGGGCTGAGGCTTGCGGTGCCCAGGAGCCCCGTTTTCTGACCACGCCTCGCCAGCTGGGCTGAGGCTCGTACTCTTGAAGCTTGTGCAGGGCCAGTACAGGGTACGTGTAGTAAACAGGGGGGGGGGGGGCCTTCCGTGCAAGAGTGTGCAGTGTGTGCAGGTGTGTACCCTGCTGCCCATCCCTCTGTTTGCACTGCAACAGTGTAAACCTGCTTGACACACCTGTTTTGCAGCTACTTTGGTTTGCAGCTGCACGGTCTCCTTTTCTTCTTGGCCGCCAACTGAGCTAAGTGAGTTAGTTATGAAGGTCGCTCAACCGCTACCTCGCCCAATGGGGCCTGAGGTTACTTGAGCCAGACACCTTCCTGTACAGTCTTCCGGTTTTGAATAGGGCTTTGAGGCTACTGGTTGTACTGGAGCCTTCAAGGCGTACTCGCTTAGCCCTGGCTTTGCTACAGCCAGTTTTAATTAATGCATGCTTCAGGGTTTCTTCGGACAGGCCTCTGGCCGTGGACTTCTCGCGCCACCGGAATGAAAATCCCATTTTTTCCGTAGCCATTTTGGCTCAAGTTTTCGGCTCAGACGTTGCAGTGCCGTCGTGGCCAGCCTTGGGGCCTACTTTTCTAGAGGTTCCAAAGAGGCCCCAAACCCAACCTGGTAAAGGTCGTAGGCCTGACAGCAGGCAAGGGTTTGGTGGGCGGCCCGGTAGGCTGTTCACTGCACGTTCTGAGTGAGGTCGATCCTCCTCTTGCCGAGTGCACTTCTAGAGCTTGGAAGTGGGCACCACTCCTTGCTTGTTTCCTGCAGCCACTACTTCTGGTAGTGGTTTCCACACCAGCTTGCAGCCATGCCGCGCACTCCCAAGTGGATCCCGTGCGCTTGTGGGTACCACTGGGCCTGGAAACGCCAGGTCGAGTCAGGGGAAAACACCCACTGTGCGTACTGTGGCAGAAACTGGCAGAAGCAGCTGGCCAAGCAGCAAGCAAACAAGGAAGCCCGGGCCGAGAACTCCCAGAGCCCCCGAGCTGTCTGGGAGGACGGTCGCACCAAAGGCAAGGGAAAAGGAGAGGGAAAGGGTTCTAAGAACCCTCCAGGTGGCAAAGTCGGCGCGGTGCTTGCGGGTCTTTGGAAAGACCTACCAGAGGCTGCCCAGAAAGCCTTTCAGGAGGTCGGGTACAGCCCACCTCGGCCCAAAGGCCCACCGCCACCCCCGCCAGGACTGGACCTCCAGTCCCTCCTTAAGGGTAGGATGACCGAGAAGGAGTACAACGCTGCCAGGGCCGTGGTCTACGCGGGGGCAGGACTCCACGTCCAGACCCTTTTGGAGGCCGCGGGAATCCCCCCTCCACCAGATGAGGACCTCGACCAGCCAGAACCCGCGCCCCAAGAGAAGCTGACCAGGTGTGTCAGCGACTTCAAGAAGGCCACCAACCAGATGAAGAATCTGGTGGAGAAGAAGGCCAAGCTCCAGGCACGAGCGGACAAGCTCAAGCAGGAGCTGGAAAAGCTCATTGGGGACGTGGACCAGGTCGACAAGGACATCAAGGCCAAGGACGTCGAGATCCAGGAGACGGCCAAGGCTTTCAAAGAGATGACGGCGGACTCCACCAGCACCGCCTTCAGCGCCCTGGAGGCGGTCCTTTCGGAGGCCGGCCACGAGCTCAATGAAGCCACCCGCGCCAAGATGAAGGCTGCCTTGGTCGGGAAGGAGGACCTCCCCCCGGACCCCTTCATCGTGAGTTTCAGAGGGCATGATGAGTACTTCCCTCGGGAGATGCCCCCCATGTACGGGCCTGCCCGCACCGATTCGCATGGGAAGCGCCCCACACCTTTCAAAGGGACGAAGCCAGAGGGAGCTGCAGGCAGCGACAACCCCGAATAGGGGCGCCTAGGCCAGGGGAACCCTGCCTTCCCCCTGGCCCTTTCTGGGCCACGGGCCCCCAGGCAGATTTTGCAAGGGCAATCGCCCAATCAGGCCCTTCTCCGCCCGTCAATGGAGGTTTTGCAGGCCTTTTCCAGTAACCAACTTGCTCTTTTACCGAGGGGGAGTGGTTCGCCACCCCACCTTGGCCAGGTGTCACACAAGAGTGGAGTTTTTTGCAAGTTTTGCAAGTGTGATCTGCACGATTTAGGCAGCACTCACCTGTTTTGCGCGCGATGCAAAGTCTTTCATAAAACCACGGCGGCGTTGCGTTGGGAGTCAGCGCCGGCCCGAGGTTTCAAGGCGCCCTACCAGCCTCTTTCCTTGAGGCCTGGGCACGGCCTTTCGATTAGGGGTGGTGCGAGTGAGTTTACCACCCCCTTTTCTTCAACCCTGGCGTCGCAGGGTGTCCTCACGCCAACGTGTTCGGACAACCAGAGCGCCCAGGTTTTCCCCAGGCTCTCTGGGCCAAAATTTTTTCCAACCGGTTGGGCCCTGGACCCTGAGCAGGAGCCCCCTGCCCCAAGTGGTACCTTGGAGGTGCTGCCAAGGAGCAACGTGGTACCTACGGGTTCGGGGTTCACCCCACCCACATCCCCCGCCAGGCCTGTGCTGTGCTTGGCCAAGGCCCTAGGCATCAGCCCGTCTCGCGGGGTTCGCAGCACGGCCCACGGCCCACGTGGGCGGCGTAAAGTGCAACAGGACTTCCTCTGAAAGTCCACCCGAAAACATCGTGCTGCCCACCGGGCTAGGAGGCAGCAACAGGCCAATTCTCTTTTCTGGCACTCCTGGCCTCCTGGTCCTGAGCCGTCCAGCGCCAGACCGAAGGAACAGGGCTCCACCTCGCCTCCTTGCCCCCCTGGTGACGCAGGGCGGCGGCCCCATACCCCCCCGGTCGGTCTCCTCCGAGACTCAGGAAGCGAAGGCCTAGCACCCGGGGGAAAGTGGGCAAGCCCCTCCCTGACCTCGAGCCTAAGGCAAATCCAGTTCAGGCCCTTGCTGCAGGGCTCGCAGATGAGCTTCGGACGAACAATGACTGGAGCAAGTCCGAACCCCAGGCTCTAGCCCTCGCTGAGGCCCTGGAAGGAGCTGATGAGGCCAGCTTGGGTTACCGGGTCTCTTATGAGATTCTCGAGGCCATGCAAGGCCACTCGTGGCTGGACCCCATTACCGCCGCGGCTTTCCTGGACGACCTCGCGGCTCAGGGGCACCAGGGATGTCAGGAGTCCGTTGTGTTTGTTAGTGCCAACATCACAACGTGGACTCCGGATATTCTCAAATGGCACCAGCCGCAAAAAGGGCCCCTTCTCATCCAGGAGCTGCACTTGGGAGATGAAGGTGCCAAAAAACTGCGCATCGAGGCTTTAGCCAGAGGGTACCATACTTTCCTCCCCCCGGTTGAGGGCCCCAGACCCACCAAAGGGGGACTGGCCACACTTGTGCCCATCCATCAACAGGGCCGTTTCAGAGGAGGGTACCTCTCTGACGAAGGGATCGGCTTCTTGTTGGTCGAACTCCCCAGGGTTCGCCATTCTATCCTTTTGGTCAACCTGTACCTAAAATCAGGTGTTGGCATCACTGGGGCGCCCAACCCGGAAGTCCTCGCCCGTCTGAAGCCCCTCCTGCGCTAAAATTCCAACTGGATTGTGGTTGGGGACTGGAATTTCCCATCGCAGGAGCTGGCTGAGACCACCCTGCCAGAGGCCTTTCGTGGGCGGATCGTCGCCCCACCGGAGGCGACGATCACCACAGGTAACTGTCTTGATTTCGCCCTGGTCTCCACCAGTGTCGCTTCCCTGCTTACCTGTGCTGCCAGTTGGCAAGTGCCCTTCCGGCCTCACGCTGCCCTGGAGTGCTGTTTCAACACTGTCGGGGGCCAGGTCGCCTTGAGGCAACTCCCAGCGTTTCCTGGGGTGCTCAAAACAGACAGCACCAAGCCCCAAACGGGGGCCACTAGTCGAACAGACAGCCTCACTCAGGATTCGACCTTTTCTCAGTTAACCCCCGGCGGCAGCCCTATGCTTGGTGCTTTCGGGTCGGAGGTGATCCAGGGCACTCTGGCCAATCGCCAATTTGCCGAACTCACCCACCGGTTTGCGGTGGAACACTTCACCAAACCTGGCGGGCGTGGGTGCACCCGGCCCTTCGTGTACAAACCCCTCATGCAACCGAAGGAGGGCTACCCGTGGCACGGCAAGGAGGCGGCCTGGTGGCAAAAACTGCAACTTGCCTGGGACACCCCGGGCACCAGCAAGGCCCGCTTCGAGGCCCTACGGCGGTGTTTCCCATCGTCTTGCATGGAAGGGTTGCCGGCCAAACTTGAGAGTGCCGGCCTCTCTGGCCTCAGCCCGGAAGAGGTACTCTGCAACGGGGAATCCAAAGGGGACTCCCGGGCTGGGATCCGCGCTTTTGTCAGGAGCATGTGCCAGGCCGCCATTGAAGAGTCCAGGTCCCGCGAGACACGGGACTACCAGGAGTGGCTTACCGGCGCCTCTGTGAAAGGCCTCCGACCGCTTTTCCGCACGGTCAAAAAGCAGGAGGCTGAGGTTGCCCGCCCATTCATGGACGAACCGGCGGAAGCCCGGCCCTACCTCCGACTGCAGC